GAAGGCAGGGGGACAATAGTTGGGATTGCCTGAAAAGTCTCCGCTTACAAGGCTGAATGATCATAAAGATAGTAGAGTCGTCTGTCATGACAAAGGCAAGACTGGAAAGGACGTTACAAAAGACCTCCCAAATTTCTCCGGCTTTCAGTGATGGGATCAGTCAGTCCTGTGCTTCCAACAAAGCGGAGTGCTTTGCCTGTGGCCTTTATTAGTTGCCATAAATCATTGTGTCAGCCTCCAGGAGTGATGGGGCGGTGTTAGAAACCTTCCTGTATCGAGAGCATCTCCTCTGGGTCAATTCCAGTGCAAAGAGAGATTAGTTACGTGCGCACAAGCTATCGTGCACATTTTCTGTTGATAAATAAAAAGCAGATTCCATGTCTGGCAGTCAGAAAACTTTATAAGTGTGCTTGAGGGGAAAAAAAAGAGAAAATACTTCATTTAGAGTATACTTTGTGTTGTTGCTTTTGAATGCAATGAATAAATTGTAGGAAGCAGAGCAGAGATAGTGAGCAGTGATACTGGATGACTGGCTGGCTTTTAAAAGTCTCCTCGGGTTGTTGTTGTAAGGCTGCACAGTTACTTGGAGCCGCCTTGGGTGCTGTTGTTCCTTCAGCTGAAACATCTGAGATTCCAAGCGGTGACAAAGCCTGAAAGGAGAGACCAGGAGAGGAACTACTGGAAGTGAATTTCTGTTCGGAAATGCTCTAGCTGACAAAGAAAGCTTCTGGGTGAGGAAATGTGTGTGCTCTTCAGCAGCAGTCTGAAAGGAAGGGTAAACCTAAAAAGTCTTGGCATTGTGGTTGCTTCACTTGCAGTGTTTAAACTCATTAAAAACTTGTGGAAACATTAATCAGGAAAGGCGCTGACCCCATACACTGAGGACAGCATGCAAAATTCCTGTGTTTTATACCTCAGTCCCTTGTAGCACAAATGTCTTAGCTGAAGGTGGACATTCAAAAGATAAATGGGTCACTGCAGTTGTATTTATTGGTTCTTCTTTCTTTTAATTTGAAACAATGATGGTATATTTTCTTTCCTTTCCAGTTTATTGTCGTTGAAGCCAGTGATAGTATTCTGGCTTCACCATCCATCTCCCCCAGAAATCCCAGGAAAGACTTTTGTTCACAGCTTTAGCTAGGTTTTTGGTCACTTGTGACATGGTTTGAAAAGAAGTAGGATTAGATTCTGTATATATGAAATAGGGTGTTCTTGTCACACAGTGGTGTTGTTTTGTAGATTTGGGGTGTGTTAGTACATCGTTGCATGGGACTGTGACAGTGACACTGGAGGCTTCAGTCAGCAGCACACATGTGATCCCCCTGCTGCCGTTTAAGACCCCCTAAATTCTGTGCGATGTCCACTGGGGCTGCCAGATGTGCCACAGCGTGAGACTCATGTCCTTCTCAGCCGGCAGCTGAAAGCCAAGCGAGGTCACCCAAAATGGCATTGGACTAGGGATAGCTATATCAGACCTGACACATCCTACAAGTCAGGAGCATGTCCCCTGAAGCCAGCGCAGATACTGGTGTGAAGGGAAGAGCAAGATTCTCACTGGGGCTTCCGCAAACGCAATTACACTGTTTTGCGGTTGTGTCTTCCATGTGTTTTCTCATTTTAAGGTGGACATAATTGGGCAATATGATTGTGAATTGTCTGTGCCATCAGAATAGAGAGTGAGATCGCTTGTTGTCATGACAACAAAAGATGGTGAGGTGTTTACTTGAAAGTGAGTTCTGCACAAGCGTTCACATCAAGCTGTGTCTGATGATCAGTGTTTGAAGAACTGTTCTTCAGAGAGTCCATTCCTCCTTTAAAATATTTGCTGTATTTGTGCAGTTTTACCACAGGATATATGGAAGATGGCTTTTTGAAAGCTTAACCCAGGACAGAGCGTACGCTTTTATTTTCAAAAGGCACTGTTTAGTTCAGTAATGGAAATCCTACCTAGACTACAGATAGCGGCATATGGAAAAGCCAGCCAGTCAACTATCTGCTGTTTATATAAAAGGAGTTTGTAGCGAAGAGACTTCCTTTTAAAATGAATCATATGGTAACTCACTTTTATAATCCTTTAATATCTTTTTGGCTTTAAAAGGTATTTGGGTTTAAGAGCATGCTTTCTGATATTAATTTTATCTCACTGAGCTTTCTTTCATGTATAAATCTGTGCTGGGGCAGAGGAGATATTATTTATAATTCCTTGGAAGTGCCTTTTATACAATGTGTACTGAGAAAGAAGTGTGTATTTGATATTCAAATGGGGCAAAGTACTGCTCTTCTCTATGAGTAAATATGCTATGTATAAAAAGACCTGTGTAAGTGCTGCATACCATTAAATAGTTACCCGACTGCCTTCTTGTTGTAGTTACATTTTAGTGTACTTTCAGTTGCTTATTGTCCAGAGAGGTCTTCATTACCTTTCAGTTAAGCTTGTGAAGCAGGTGTATTTAGTGGTCTTCGCTTGATATGAACAGGGGATGTTACACTATCAGAGAGATATGTAAACTACATTAGCCAGTAATATTATCTGAAATTCTTCAGTCATAGTTTCGATTTTGATGAGTAGGTATTAAGTATAATGAAAATATGTAGCACACATACTTTTATGTTAATTGTTTGTGTCTCTGCAAGTGCAGAATTGTAATTAAGGAATCTAGAGGCAGTCAGAGAGGAGTTTTGTGTGGGGAAAATGTTGATAAGAGTGCTGAAATAGGACTTGCAGTTCTTACGCAACAGGAAAATCTAGTCCAGTACTGCAGTTTGAAATTTGAATTGGAAAGGAAAAAGTTTCAGGAAGGTGTTAGTTAATACATCTGAAGTTAGCTTTTTTTTCTGTTTTACAGCACCTAGCTCAACTGTGTTATGGCCCAGGAGTTGTGGTGGTGTCATCCCACTTAAAAAAACCCCTGATCTCAGAAGCAATTTGGCACTTTCTGAGGCAGGTCAGAATCTTAAAAGGTCAGATTTTTAGCCAGCCCTCTACATTTTATCTCTGTGCTTGTGTCTTAAATGTTTCAGTAGTCCTTTAATCACAACTAGAATGTGTGACTTGTTACTTTGAATTATGCAGCATGGGAAATACTGTTTAGTTATTTATTTCAAGTAGCAGTTTAGTTATTTATTTCAAGTAGCACCAATCAAAGATAGGTGTCAAAGGCTCCTTAGGTTAATGAGAGGGGCATTGTCAGTGATGGTGAAGAAAGAAACTGGAATAAGACCAGAAAAGACAAGTGGCATGACTGGATTTGTCAGACATTTGTAAACATCAATGGCAAAACATACATTAATCATCTGTTTTTCTTGCAAGCTTAAAAATTGTGAACTTGTGCCAGTCTTCTGTACCGCTCTTTTCTGGTGTCATACCTGATGAGTTATCTCTAACTCATTTCCTCTGTCAGTGAGACCAACTGGCCATGTTGGTAATTGGCCACATGTCTAGCGCTGGTGTTCCCAGATCCTCCCTCCTCCACCGACTCCGTGTATTAGCTCTGATTGGAAAGTCTCATTGGAAATTAACTGTGTAAGATAAAGGCCAGCTTCTGGCATCCCTGTCAAAGGAACGTTGGTTTTGTGGGGTGCACAGGGACCTCAGCATTACTGCCTTTTCTTTTGGGTAGCCTGCAGCGCCGCTAATCTGAATTGGCTCAAAAATAGTGGAGTTGTTCAGGGAGCCGTTGGATGATAGGTGGCTACGTGTACGTCAGTCAACATAACCTGGAGACTATCAGGGTGCAGGTTATGCCTGCAGCAATATAATAGATGACAGCAAATAAAATTACTGGACTACTGCTGCAGAGGTTGGCTTCCCTCCTTACAGTGCTCATGTCTCTCCTGCAAGTGCCTGTATCAGACAAGCTGAGGACAGGATGTGTGGTCCATCCCATCTCCAGTTCTCCTCTGCCTTATGCAGGGTCAGTGAAGACTAGGAGGAACCAGCTAAGAAGGCACTGAAGAAGTAGAAGAGGCAGTGTGGTGTGCTATGATGCCAGGCTGAGGTGGTACCAGGGGGTGGGGAGGTGGGCAGGGAACGAGCAGACAGGCCCCGTTCCTCTGGCTGATAGACATGGAGGATGCAAAAAGAATTTTATTCCTGTGTGCTTTCCCTTCAGTCCCAGGAAGCTGAATGGGAAGAAGAATAGGAGATGGGGGTCTGGGAAAAATGTTGTAATTATGGGTAATCTTGTTTGTCTCAGTTCTTTAGAAGTCAAATAATTCAGTGTATAAATTGACAAAGCCTTGCAACTCTGACCTCCTTTCTTGAAGGTTTTCTATACCCTTTCCTGCTCTTGTTACTATCTCTTCAGGGATTCCCCTTTGTATTTCGTTCTCTATTCCATAAGCATGAAGTCTGGAGAATAACCTCCCTGTTGGCCAGCTGGTGCTAGGCCAGCCATCATTTTTCGTAGTCCTCTGGAGCATACCTTGGATCTTATTGGCTTGGAAGTAGTTGCATTGGTTGTAAATCTGTTATATGGCAGAAAATCTGGCGTAAGCAGCATCTTTATTCTTTCTGGTGATAGTAAGCCTGCAAAGCAGAGCAAGGTGAACGAACCTATCTAATATATTGATGTGTGACTTCTGATATGTTCTTTGTACAAGAGACAAAGGTATGTGGAAACCAACTGAGAAAATAGCAGCTGTGATGTTGGAGAGTAAGCAGAAGAGGCTTATTCTTTTGCTTTCTCAGCCAGGAGTAGCTGCAAAGATATGTCTGCAATTTATAATACATTGGTTTCCATTATATGTAAGAAAGAGTTTAGCGGGTCAGGTATTGGAGTGATGATACCTGTACACACATTGTAGTCAGCGTCACTCCTTCATGCTGCTTGCATTAAATTTTTCATTTTCTTTCAGCAGTATGTGCGTGTAAATTGACAGTCATCCGACTGTAGAATTGAAGGGCTTGCTGAGAGTCGTAAAAGAAGAGTGAATCGACTACATCCAGCAGGTTAGCTGCATGGGTAAGAGATGTTTCATTGTCTCTCTTTGCCTTGCAGGAAGAATGTAAACAAATACTGGCTCGGCAGAAATCCAGTTCCCAGTCTGATTCTCATGATGATGAGATTTCCCCTCCTCCTCCCAACCCAGTGGTAAAAGCCCGGCGCCGGAGAGGGGGGGTCAGTGCGGAAGTGTACACGGAGGAAGATGCTGTTTCTTATGTCAGAAAGGTAATGTGTTGCCATCTGTCTGATTCTGAGATATACAGGACAATCAAGTGACTCATATTTTGCTTGTAATTTGGAATCATGGGTCAGCCTGTAGGATGATGTCCTCATGCCAGCATACGCATGGCTTGACCATCTTCTTCCCACTCAAGTTATTTTGCTAACTCCTTGATGAAGTACTTTGCCCATCAGTGTTGCTTCAGTATTCTCTATTCTTCACCTTCTTGAGACGTGCTGCTCATCTTATTTCCCCCTTTAACAGGGTGGGTAATTCTCAGCCATTTGCTTGATATTCACAGACTCCGGCAGCTTCTAAGTTTTGTCAGAACCTCATAGTTTTGGATAGCAGCCTTTTCTGTTGCTGCATTCTCCTTTTTTTTTTTTTTTTTTTTCCAACAAGTCACTTCTAGCTCAAGCTTTCTTCTAACCTAGGTCATTTAGGCTCCCTAGACCATTCAGACACGTGATCGCCATGTTGATTGCGTACCACCTAACCCATGGGTTTTCGGAAGTCTGTTGACCATACTTGGGCGATTTTATGTGACCGTTGTCTTTGAAGAGCTGCCAGTCCCAAATTAGGTAATTTATTCAGTAGGAGCGCTAATTTGGGCTTCTCTTTTTTTTTTAATTGCCTTTTTCACAAAAACATCTAGCTATGTTATATCCCTGATATCTCTTAATAACTCTGCAAATTATTTTTTTAAACTGGCCAAAGCTTTCAAAGGTTATTAAAAGAGAGACATTACAATAGCATATGTCATGTTTGTTTAGGGAGCTAGGCTAAAAATTCATTTCATAAAGTTGACAGATGCTACTAATGTGCTTTTGTGCATGCCTGGAGTAGCTTTAACCCAAAGAGCTTTTTCTTTATGGGAATACATTTTGTCAGTCACTGTTTTTTTGGCAGATTACTTCTTGCTTCTGCAGTCAGATGTGCTTTTGTCATCTAGTTATGATGCAAGGTCACTAGCTTCACTGGGGATTTCTGTCCTAAGAAACAAAGAATTAAGAGAGCCTTTCATCCTAAGAACAAGTAGGGAGGAGTATTCTTGTGGCAGTTAAATAATGCTTGCAAGTATATAGTAAATTTTAACAACACTGTGGTTAAGCTATTAATGCACTGCACTGTTGAAAAACTTTCATGATACTTTACAAGCCAGTTTCAAACACTTTTCCTTCTGTGCAGTGTGCAGTATCACCCTCAAAAACTTTCATGAAGAGATCCCATTAGTCTCTGCTTCATATGGGCTCCATCTGACTCTTCTGAAAATCAAAGGAAATGCTCCATCCCACACCCCTGAGTAATTCTTTTATGTTTATAATGGAACCTGAAGTTAACTTTGTTTTCTTCCTTTTTCAACAGTGATGCCAGTAAGCCCTGACAGTAGCATGGGTAGGCAAGAGCCAGAAGAAGCAATACAGATAATATTCTGTGTGTTCTGTGACTAGGGCTGTTATGATTTTAATTTCCTAGGAAATGGCTGAGCTTAAATAATAAGAATTTAGGGGATGGTTTCTTGTCAGGCTACAGATGCTGCAAGGACTATAGAACTAGCAATGGGAGCGTTTGTGTCAGTGCTTTGTCTTCTACTGTCAGCAAATAAATCCCATGGTGAATGCCATGGATGTGTGTTTGTGACAGAGATTTCTAGAATACAGAAATAAAGGGAGACACTGTAAGGACAAATTATGAAACTAATTTAAAAGCATAAAAAGCAAGGCAAGGGTTGTGTTAGACTATTGCAAATAGATGGGTTTTTAGATAGTAGCCAGAAAGAACCGTTGGCTTAAATTCAGGTTTTGGATAGAAACACATCTGGGTCATAAGGCAACTTAAAGGATCCCATGAAGGGGTGAACTGTAGGATGAGTAGTGCTAAAGGCAGTGCAGTGAGTTATGTCACTGGAGAGAAAATCAAAGGAGATTGAGCTTTGTGATTTGAGCAAGCACCTGGCATGGCTCCATTCTGAGAGCACAACGGAAGATCTCTGTGGAGGGTTATTTCATGGCTTCATTCCTGAAACTAGAGAAAGCAATATTTGTCTATACATCTGACATAACAGATAGTTAACAACTAACAGAATAGGAATCTTGCTTTAAAGAGGCTTATCGGCTTGAAGAGAACATTCAGTGATTACTTGGAAGAGTGATGTAGGAAGTGGTCTTCCCGACATTTGATTTTGGTCGGATGCCTGGTTACTGTGACACCTAAAGAATCTCTCCTGTGTTTTCTGTGTCCCTGACCCAACAGACCCACTTCTGTCTCTGCCTTGTGGCTTTCCTTGCTGCAGATTTAGACTGCGAAAGGCTAGTCTATGCTATTCCATAATCAACCAGAAAGGTTGGAGTTAAATGTCATAGTGATTTGTTTATTTGGCTCATCAGCAGTAAGCTGAAACAGCTAGAGTAAGGGTTTAGGACTGCAATTCAATCAGGGGTTTGTTTGATAGGGTAAAAGCCAAGAAGAAACTGGCCAAATACTCATTTTATTTAACATCAAGGAATTTAAACTTTTAACTAAATTAGATTACGTTTTGCTGGTACAACTATGCAGTTTATATGTATACGCTCTCTCTAGACTTAATTTGAGCAGTTTAGTGACTACAGCAGTCAATATAAGTGAAGTCTGAAGCAGAGTTTAACTTTAGATCTTCACAGCACAGTATTTCCTTTGAAATACATCTAGATCAATTCTTTCTGAGACCAGGTTCTACATCAGTCTTCCCATCTGAGACATCCTCATGCTGGTTGGATGCGTAGTATCTTGCCTTTCCAGGGTGAGGCAAGGAAACTGCCTGCACATCAGCATACGTAGTAACTTAAATAAGACAGAAATACTATTTCTATCATAAGAAAATGTGAAAGTTAAATGTCCATTATCAGACCTCTTTTGTACAGTAATTAAAACAGGCAAATGGATGTTGAGCTTCAGATTGGAGTAAGGTTTATTTAACACTTGAAACTTGTGCTAGGCTTGATTCTGACCCCTTATATTGAAACTATTAATCACAGAATCACAGAATCACAGAATGTTTGGGGTTGGAAGGG